GAGCAAAGATGACCTGTCTGTGGTCCACATTTCTACATCCCACCTGTCCTGCCACGTCCAAAATGTGACAGGGCATCACAGTCTTTGTTTCCAGAACCAAGCAGGTTACGTGAGCGTCCTGATGACTTTTCTATTTCCTTTTTCCTGATTTCTGTGGTAGCTTCTCTGTCCCTGATAGGTTCTTCTGGAAGTCACTTTGTAAATGATGTCAAACCATGTACACAAAGGAGATGAGCTGGATGAGCACAGCTGATGCCTGCTCTGCCAGCCCCTCCAGACCCTGCAGGGCGGATCCTCACAGCCACCTCCAGCATGTACAGGTAGCTTCTGACACAGATGTGGGCACAGGACTGTGTGTTTGATCATCTCTCTGGCACAGAGAGTGCCCTGCGTATGTGGAATTAGGAGAGTTCAGGCACAAGGTGAGTGAGAATGCAGTAAATAAAGCTAGAGCCTGGGGGATATTACAAAGGGATTTCTGAGGAGGAGCGGGAAAGGATACCACAGAGCAAAGAAAAAAAACAGAAAAACAACAAAAGAGAAGACAGTAAAAGGGAGTGCAATAATGGGCATGAATTTCTCTTTCTTCTGCCCCATGGCAAGCTGCCAATCCCTTCCACACACATTCCTCAGCGCTGCTAAAACCAGTCCCCATGGACACACCTGCCTTGAGACAAATTCTTTTAGTCTTGAAAAAATCTGGGCACTTCTTCAATAAAGAGCTTTGCTTTTAAACTACTCTGCCTTTGTGAATTTTGGCAGCAGCTCCCACTTGGAGAGCTTTTGAGAACCCTTTTCTGTAATCAGATTCCCCTGCCCCAGGGGACTGTGGGCGAGTCACTTCCCACAGCTGTCCCTCAGCTTCCTATTCTGTGACATGTGGCTCACCACTACGTCAAAGGGCTGGGGTTAGGCATCATTTATGTGTAAAGAGCTGTGAAATCCATGAGGTTGATGGGGTGCTGAGCATTACACCACACACTGTGAGGGTAGTGTTACCACAGCTCATCACTTGTATATAGCAGGAGGTTGGACAGGCACAGGAGTATGGTTTAAAGCATTTCACTGCCAAGAGCGAAAAGTCATTAAGTGAATGCAATAGGAGGCAGTTCAGTCCTATAGTGACAGTGCCCATTTCTTCTACACAGTAGGTCTGAGGTTGAACACTAGAAAATACAAACATGCTTAGGAGTACTAGCCAAGTCCTCACCATCTTGTTCAAAACCAGGAAAAAAGCAAAACCCAAACAAAGACTTTTTCAATTCCTTCTCATGCAGGCTGCCTCCTGAGCCACCTTATACTGGAGATGTTCTGGGCTGGCAAAATCTTATTTCTGGTCTGAGAAACATCTCTCTTCTTCTCTTGTCCTGACCAGAATCAGGTTGTCAACAGACTTACAAGAGAATCCAAATGATTTGCAACATGGTGCAACAGAAAAGGGCATCACTACAGTTTTGTGGATGTGTGGCTAAAATAATGGGCATCACAGTTTCTGGTGAAAGGAACGTGAAGCTGCTAGTAAGGTAAGAGTAACCTGCTCCTTCTTCCCTATCTTCTCTTTGTGCTCCCCAAAAAAAGCCATACTGTCTTCCAGGAGAAGAAGTTACTGTTAGCAAGCTGCCTTACATCACTTCTACATGAAGCTGTGTTGGAACGTGAAGAACATAAGTTCACTGTAGGCTGCATGGCAACATGCAACACAGCCGGAGAATACTGTGGCCTAATTCCCAACCAAGCCCATACCAGCTTTGCTCTGAGAAAGAGGTCAAGTATTGCTCTTTATGTGCCAAAGTTGCCCTAGTTGACTTAGCTTTGGTTTTAATACCATAGCTGGAAAAAGCATATGCTAATTTTACCTCCTCTGTTTCGATAATTCACACCCCTACCAAACAATCAGGTACCAAAACGAGTTTTAGAAAAGGCAGAGTGTGAAGACAGGAACATTGTTAGGAGCCATGCAGAGTCTAATTCTGGCTTGGCTGCAAATTTAATATGTGGTCTTGAGCAAGTCAATTAAATTCTTTTCATCAAATCTTCCCTCAGTAAAATCCAGAATAATTACTTGTCTTGTAGAGATGCTGTGAAAACTAAGAAAGTCTTTAAATAACTTAAGATGTTAAAGCCTCTTAAGAATTATGTAGAAACCTCAAATAAGATTTCTAAAAAGGTTATTTAAAACCACAATGGGATAAAAAAGTATCATAATTGAAACTAATTCATGAAATAACAATGTTGAAAAACTTCTCTGATGTGAACAGTAGAACATAAATCTGCAGCTGCCTGGCAGACTACAGTCAGCTCAGAGAAGCAACTGCTCTTTCAAACATTCGCTATGGTGGAACAAAGTCAGTGCAGGTACATGTGGAAAGTCTTCTAGCCTATGATGCTCTTTAGTAGTGTCTTCCATTATTATTGGTCTTTATTATTCTTTGTAACACTTTGGGCCTTTAGCTGGGGTCTGTCCTGGTGTGGTTGGTACCACAGAAGATAATGAAATTCCCTGCCCCAAAGAGCTTACAGTCAGAGGTCCTGAATGTCTAGCAGTTTACATCACACAAGGATGAAAGCATGAATGTGAGCAACTCGTGTTTGTAGATGTAAAACTAGGGTCCATAAATGAATCATCATGGGAGACAAGCTCAAATAAATGACGAGAAATGTCATGGGGATTCCCCTGGCATGAAGCACAAGGTAACAGTGGCATCATTAAGGCTGGTTTAACTGTCAGAGTACACCAGATGTGCTCTATGTGCATACTGAGAGATGCACATTTCAGGGAGGAGGCCAGGAAGAGGCAGGGTAACTAAGTGGCCTTGCACATTCTTAGATGAACCTCCTCTTTGGTTTTGGTAGCCCTAGATGAAGCACAAACATATTTGAAGAAAACCTGACCTTAATTTTACAAAGGCAGAGATTACTGGCAGAGCACAGGCCAGTACCATCAGCATATCTGAGACAAAACACAAGGTGGGACCAAGCTGTGATGTATCTTACAAGTGAAATATAGAAGTTCAAACAGATATATAGAGAATAAAAAGCCAGTAGAGGGAATAAAACCAAAGACACGGACAGCCTGCAGTTTTATACATGCAGATCTTGGTGCATCCTCAGAATTACTTGCTAGTCTAAGAACAGTAATGCTCAGCTCGAGAGATGATTAACCTGAACTCAAACGAGCATGGCACTTCCCCCCCCATCTTGCACTGTAAGACAAACAATAGAAAACAAGGCTGTCAAAGATGCCATTTTATAAAGAACTACTGAGGAGTCACCCATTTGATCCGTGTAATTTTCCACAACTGATAATGTAATAAGAAGATGGATCTGTTAAGAAACCTCTGCCTTATCCTCACCGCAGTACTCGAGATTGCTGTGAAAACAGTTCCAGGCACTGTCTGATACAGCAGAGAATGTGAGAGTCAGTTGAAAAAAAGGCATCGCAAGAGCTAATTCAAGAAGGTCATATCCTTTCCTTCACACAATCTTCCCTTACCTACCCACCCCCTCCCTTTTCCTCTGCTGAGTCCTACATCATTCATCTGTATGGCTGTATTTTAACGGAAGAGGTGCAAGCTGCCTGAAATGGAGAGGGCTGGGAGTGGGAAGAAAAATTCTGTTGATTTTGGCTTTTATTCCAAATTGATTACTGGCCATGCTTGCAAAGGAAATTATTTCCCCTGTTCCTCTACCGGTATATACACATGGGTATGTACAGACACCTAAACACTTTTAGATTTACAGTGAGGTGTAAGGGGCAGGATATTCAAACACTTCTCAGTATAGGTACTCCAAACTGTGGGATACATCACCACACTGAAAGGTGATGTGCCACTACTCTGATTTTAAGATGTGGTGAAAGCCAAACCCTCCTCTTTCCCCAATTTTCTTTTGAATAAGCAGAACAAGGTTGCTTAGCTCAGTGCCTGGTTTCTGTGGGGCAGTGGAGTTGTGCTTTATGCTGTTTGCTTGATGACATATCAGTATAGTGCACTTCAGGCGCTATCCCTGAAGTTATGAGTCTGTTCATATGATTACATTATCTGTAATTAACAGCGCACAATCCAAACTGGGGACCTTAACAGGACTATTTCCTCAGGTCATCTTCCTGTATGAAGTGAAGAGGCACTAGCTGCTGCTTAGACCAAACATCTCCAATTGCATAAAGTGATATTTAAAGGCATAAATATGTTCTCTGCTCAGGCAAGCTTCCTCTGTCAGCAACTTGCCAGTTCACTAAGGGCTGGTTTCATCAACCGCATACATGCAAGGTACTAAACTGAGTGTCGTTTGCACACATCTCTGTGTGGATACTTGTTTTGTCAGTGAATGAAGGTACATCAGGATATGGGGGATACGTGAATTCAGAGCATGTGAGAACAGTAATTTCTGTACAGCCTGTGAAGACTCTTGGGTGCAGAGACTTGAACAGGTTGGACACATACATCCTGGTCAGAACAGGCAGGCGATAGCAATGGGTGATGCAAGGGCATCTCTGCATAGCAGAGCATCGTGCAGCGCAGGCACAGCAGGCAGCATGTGGGTGCCATTAACGGACACCTCTGATGACAGTGTGACCATCACCATTTATGACACTACATAAAACCAGTAGCTGCTGTTCTGGTTTAGGTTGGCTGTAGGGATCATTGCCCTCATCTGTTTTTAGAAGCTGAAATTCTAGAGATCTCCTGTAGAAAGTACAGGAGAATGAAAAGCTACAGAGCTCCAAAACAGAAGGAGCAAAGGTAAATCCAGTGGAATAGAGGTCCATTTTCTGAAGACATTTAAATGGTTTTAAGACTATGCTAGTAAATGAACACACCCTTTTTATTACTGAGGCAACCAAAGTGGGGAGAATGGAAACAGCCTGTTATAGGTAAAGCCAAATGAGATGTTGCCTAGTAACTCTCAGCAGGGAAGCATTTAAATCCAGCCAGTTTAGTGAAGCTGATGTTCTGACTCAGAGATTATTTTCTCTGGAAAAAACCTGAAAGCAGGAAAGCTCAATAACAAACATACAATTTATTTTCCTGTTACAGCAAACCATGGTAACAATGCTTGGGAGAATACAGAATTATTTACAAACTTGCACAAATAAGAACAGACAAGGTATGTTGTCAACAAAAGCATCACTTTACTGAACACGTTTTTTTGATGCTGATTCCTGCCCCCCTCCCCATACAGTCAATTTCACATTCATTTTTATTTTGGGATTCTGAAATACACAAGTGATAACAGAAGTGTGGATATATTACACAGACTGTTACATTATTATCATATTATTTCTGTAAGAGGAAGTTCCTGGAGCAAACCCGACTTCAGCTATTGGACACAGAATCAAAGCCATTGATTTTAAAGAAGAAAGACTCTGTGTCCTCACTGGTTCTGTTGCCTGGAATAGTTTTAATTAGGCCCTCCTTCTGCTTTTATGTGTGCACGAAAAAGTCACTTGGCTTGGTTAAAGACCTCTCACATCAGGGAAAAAAAAACCCACCTCAAAACTTGTTTGGAGATTCATGTTATCTTTTTCTTCCCTTTAGAAGGATATGATGATTTTACAGAAGTAAAAGCTTTGGCTTTTGTACATCTGTATTCCTGGGTGCCACAACTACTGTTCAGCATCAGCAAAGTCAGGTTCAGGGAGAGTACTTCATTTCAACAGCCTCAGTGCAGTTCATATCAATAATTATGAATGTGAACTATTGCATAGATATTTTTAATTTAAAAAAATACACTAAACAGATCAATGTTTACCTCACACTAATTATGAAAAAAAGAGACTACGAAAGGTTTAATACGAAAATATATATTTTATCAACACTCAGCTGGAAAGCAAAGCTGCAGTGGCATAAAAATTTGAGTTCTATATTAAAAGCATGAGTTTTTCACAAGCCTGTTGTGTAAGCAGTAAAAGGATGTTCTATAAGCCACAGAGATCCACTTCTCATTGACCAGAGTCTGGTCTGAAGTTTAAGGAAACACTGTTGATACAAAACCTCTGCCCAGAAGGTGGGGGACCATCATCAAATACATGGCCTAGATGAGCTTCACACTGCAACAGAAATTATGTACCATTATTACCACTGCAATTATGGATCGACTTGGTATGAACTTGAATTAAGAAACTTGTATGATGAATTCACTGTTGAGTTATGTTGGGGGGGGGGGGTGTCTTGGGGAGAGATCAGAAATACATCCTGGAGTAATCACCTCTTGTCAGTGGGCGAATATCTGCCCCCAGACAAGCAGAGCACAGAAGAGGGAGCTGAAAGGTACTAATGACAGAAAGTATAGGAAATAAATGGGAGGATTCAGACACCTCAATATATAATGAAAATGTCAAGTTAATTGAGCCAGTCACTGTAGGGACTTCTCACAGGTCAGCTAGGATTTCCTCCCCAAAATTACTAATGGAAAGAAATAGGCCTCAGAATAGCTATAAATGGCTCATTACATAATTGAAAGGCTATCTTCAGCTGGGGTTCTTGAAAGGTGATTGCTGGATATTCCTGCAAACATGAACTCTGCAGTAGATACTTGTTATATTTGCAGATAATACCTAATCCTGTTAGACTGGCCTGCAAGCACACTGGAGGGCAGTGTTAGCAATATTAACAGTTTGGAAAAACAAGCAAAAAAAAAAACCCCAAACCCAAAAGCCTAAGATGCAATTCATTCAACTCAATTGCATACTTTTATACCCTAACAAAAGTAATAAATAGCACAGGTTTAGGGTTGGAAATAAATGGTCATGCATGGCAGTTCTTTGGAAGACAACCTGAGTATTACAGCAAGTCCTAAAAGAAATATGGGTCATGGGCTGTGGAAAGGTAAAGGTGTAAGATCAGGAACACTATCTATAACACACCTACACAGCCTCTGATGCAGGCTAGGCACACCTGCAGTGCTATGTCCAGGTCTGCACTGTACTCAAGAAGGAAAAGGATCAATTGGGAGGAGTGCAAAATACATCAACAAGATGACTAACACTAAAAAACACTGCATAAAAAGAACCAGGCCTTTCTAGTCTTGAAAATAAATGATTCAGAGAGTCAAAATAGCTACTCAAAATAGAAGGGTGGCTTCTGTGGAATAAGAGAAACCATACAAGATAGCTGTGAAGATGTAGGGCACGACCACTGCTGTGCAGGGCAAACAGCAGTAAGTTTCAATGGCTGTGGTGTCTCCACCATTGCGTATTTTAAGAACAGCTTCAGCAAACATTTAGGAGGACTGAATTACAAAGAACTGCCCTGTGATGGAGCAAAATGGGCTAAATCTCACAGTCCCTTCCACCGTGTGTTATTCCGTCCTGCAGTTCACCTGTGGTCATCTGAATATGTTTTCTGTCTAAACTCCAGCCCTTGGCTATACTTAAACAACCGCTCTCCCTAGTCACATCATTTCTTCAATCCAAACCAACTGCCTATACTTGATACTTCAAACTACTCATGTGTTTGAACAGTTGCAGTGATAATCACTATTACTAATAGTAATTCTCACTACTGTATTTGGGTAGATTTATTCACGGGCACAAAAAAAAATATGTATCTGTTAAGATGTGGGTCTTTGGATATCACCTCCAAAATAAACATACCTGTTTGCAGACAACTTCAGTTCTAGTTGATCCCAGTGAGTGATCTGGTCGTCTCATAATATTAGCATTGCTTTCATCTCTGCCACAGGTACCATAAGCCTCAGAAAATGATGGCCATCCAGTCCCAGAATTGAACTTCTTTTCTGAGCTACAGGGGAAATCAGATCTTCTTCTTAATAAATAACAGACATGTTACCAAAAAATCTGATTTTCATAAGAACATTGGATTTTTTCCCTCATCCCTGTCTTGTACTGCTATTAATATTTGGCACAGTATATATTTTCTCACTGGCATCAAACTGTCCTGGAAACTCTTGTCCAAAGGGAATTCTCAATCAGTCCACAATATGGGCTTTTACTTCACTGTCTCTGTTTCACTGACAGACTGACATTCTATAAAGCTTGAAAAAAGCTTTTTCCAACAACTGAGGCACTTGTGTGTGCCTCCTGTTAACATCCAGGATTACCAACCCTGTTTAGCTGCATATTAAAACCTAGAGTATGTTGGAAAAATATGATCAGAAAATATTTTTGGGATCTAGTATACAGAAATGAGATAACCCATCCTGTTTAAAGTTGTGCAAGCTTTGCCAGCAATAAGTACTTTCTCCTAGCGAGGAGGGACCTAGTGTGAGTTAGAGTGAGAAATGAAAACAGACTCACATACTCCCGGGGCAAGTGGTCTGGAGACCCCACATGACCGTTTCCTCCCCATTTTCCATGGTTTATCCCATTTCACAAACCCAATGCTCTTACTGGCATCTAGTGGTGGATGGAGACACCAACACCAGCAGCTGCTTTTCTGTGATGGAGGCGAGTCCATTAGTTAACACAGAATTTAAAGCAAAATACCTAGTACAGACCATGTATATTTTGGTGGGATGTTAACACAGTGGAGAAAAATCTTACTTGCACTGCCTTTTAAAAAGAAAAGACAAACAAGCTGGGAAAAAAGCTTAAAGAAATCCAACCCAAAGAACAGGGCATGCTTGAGCATGTGTTTTATAATTAACTGTACAAGGCTGTCTTTGAGCAATGCAACTGTGGAAATAAAGCAGAATTTGCAAAGACAGAACAGAAGGCTAATTTTCTGGGGGGGCTGTTGCTCAGGCCTTTACATGACTCCATAAAGACCCATGAGAAATGCTCTTCTATCGCCTCCCTTCCTTAAAACTGGGGAGAAATAGGACACACACAGCACAGAAGCAAGAGGCACTGGAGAAAACGCAGTTTGCAGACTGTGTTTGTGTGAGACGGTGTTTAGGGCTCCAGGCCTATTTTGTTCTAGCCAAAAAAGGCTCCCTGCCTCTCCTTGCTATAAAACCACACCAACACTTTGCCTGCTAGCCAGAGTCCCAAAGAATAAGCTGGGGGAACACAAATGCCTGTACATGGCTCCTGAGTTTCCTGGGCATGTACCTGCACTGGTTCTTTCTTATTTGCAAAGTATTTCAATCAACTTTTCTGACACAGGGACCCTTCTGCTTATTCATATACAGGTACAAGGATCCTCTCTGAAACCCTGTAGGGCCAAGGAAGGTCTTCAGCGCTATGTGGGTTTTGCATCTGACCCTGACTGATTCTGTCCCTTTCATGCCACTCACAATGCTTCAGTTTATTGTAGATGTTTCCACTGCTAAAGGATCAATCTTGTGAAATGTTAAACTAGCTCTCAACAGAAATGGTCTCTGTGTGGTTTTACTAACAGTAATATCACTTAGATTCCCTAATAGAAACATTTTAGTTCCCCAAAATATTGCTGTTCGAGATCATATTTGTCCTTTGAAGTATTTCACCACTTAATTTATAGATAAACGGACTTTCCCTAAACATATGCATTAGATTACCCTTCGACACACCATTCCCCCAGCACATGTCATTTACTTTGATCCCTATTTTAGTCATCCTGGATGGAATCCAGATAATTCTAAAAAGTGCTTTTTGCTGTATGAATCTCAGCTGTAGGTTTATGGTTCGCTGAAGGTCTGAGTTTTCATTAAAGCACCGCAATTTGCTATCTATAAAGGTTCGGGGTTTGCTCCATGTATTTCCAACTCTTTCAAATGAGTATTTGGTAGCAGAAGGTAATAAATTCTGGTATAAATGCATACACACACATGTATACTTTGAAAGAAAGGAGGAACTGCTTCATGTTTACCTGTAGCTAATCTGATATATTTGGAAAAGAGCATTTTTAAATGCATTAGGAAATAAACATAATAAATGAATCTCTTATCAAATACCATTTCCCACTCATATTTAGTGTCCTCCACAACATAATGCACTCATGGAAAATATATTTTCAGACTGTTTTGCACATTTAGTAATTTTCAATTTTCTTTTTTTTTTATTATTTATTTTTCTGTAAGTTTGTGGGAAGTTTAATTTCTCTGTATCACTATGCAAGGCTCAGCATTATTTTATGCTTTAAACAGAAGTGCCTATATTCTCTGAGAGTGGATTCTGCATAAAGCAGCATGACTGTTTGGCGATATTGTTGTTTTGTTATTAGTTTAGCAGCAGCAGCAATTCCCTCCAGTGCTCATCTCTTCATGTTGGCCTGTCAGTATCTATTGTCTAATATGAAGGAAGCCTAAACTGAAGGAACATTTGAGGGAACTGAAGGAACTCTTGCACAGCTTAATAATTTAAAATTTCTCTCATTTACCTGAATTTTTCAGAGGTATTTTTAGATTTTGTATTTGTCTTCAGAATATTCTGCAATGTGTTGTAGGTTCTGAAGTAAATGTACTTAAAAGTGTTTATTATCGAACCTCTACAGAAAAAGATACATTTAAGCAAATGTTCATTTGCATAACAATAGCTTTCTGGACTTGGCCAAAGGATAACTAACAGTTCACAATTATCAGCCTTCAATTTTACCATTTAATTGCTGAGTTGAGGTTTATTTTTAATACAGCCATTACCTTTCCCCCCCTTTCTTACTGTCCAGATCTCTTGTTCCTCAGCTTCCCATTGAAGTTCTGATCTGTGACGCATCCTTTAAAGTCTTCATAAAAATGGGCATATCAGCCATATTCCATTGAACTCTCAGCTGGGGATAAATAAAGGCTATTTTCTAGATCAAAAATATGAGGAACTGTCTTTTCTGTTTCAGTTACAGAGAACAGAACACCTTCTGAATATCCTACTCTTGAGGCATTCTATTTCCTTTTACTTAGACTTTAATGAAGTTGCAAAATACACAGTATTGCAAAGAGCACAGAGCTTAACAGCAGAGTCATTTACAGACAGATTTTAAGAAGCAAACGTAACCAAAAATGCAAAAATAGTGGAATTTAATTTAGGGAGCAAGAAGGGGGTGGAGGTAAAGAGAAGATCTCAGATCCAGTACGGGGGACCCAGCAGTAAGAACGTAACAACATCTAGACTAAAGCAGACCAAAAGTCTGTCTAGCCTAGCAGCGTAAGTGGCAGAAGACAGCCATGGAAGAGCATGAGAACAGAGCAAACATACAGTGATACTCACACATAAAATACATGTATTTTGTGGCAGCTTGTGGCTTAGGGACCTCTTAAAGAGAGAATTATAATCAATCAAGAAGGACAGTGTGTGTGGCAGTATACAAAGGCAGACCTTAAAGTACCAGCTATTGCCTGCTGCCCACTGGAGACCTCATATGCTTGAGAAAAGGGCCTATCTTGTACCTGTATCACCACAGGTATCCTGGAAATCCTGTACATAGCACTCTGGCACCAAAGGACTGTTATTCTGACCTAAGCTTCCCATTCCTCTCATGAAAAGATACTTCTCCTCCTGTCATAGTTTGGACATTTTAAGGATGCTGTGAAATCTAAAGGGTGTTACCTGAACAGTGGGGCATTGCAGCACACGCAGCAGTATATTCCTGATTCTGTGTTATTCAGATAGATCCCACTAAATGGCTTTAAAAAAAGGAAGAAAAAAAGGGAAGTTAATAATGTAGGTCTTTAAAGCTCACCATCTGGAAGAAGCATGTAGGAATCAGATTCAAAACAGGAGAAAAACTATAAAAAGAAGGCTTCACAGGGGGGCTTTGAAGAACAAACATTAGCAACCTAAAGATATGAAGGGCAGGATGCCTTTGGATTAACAGTGAAGACTACCCCCTGCCCCCAGAAACTTCGAGAGCAGTCAGATGCATAAATCATCCAGGTACCAGGGCTGGAGTCACGACCTCTGAGGAACTTGTGAAATGAGCAGCATCCCAAAGACCAGGGCTCTGCTGTGGAGTGCCATGACTTCAAAGTGTCTCTGCAAAGGGACTGTCTTCTCCCTGAATGGTCTGGAACTGGGATCCTTATAGATAAGGATTTTGGCACAGCTCACATGGTTTAATCTCATGGTACATGCTCCATGCATGCAGAAGCCCTGGCTTTGGGCTGGGGACACCCACAGTTCTACTTGGCCTCCATCACAGCAAGAAGCAAGGCATGGGGACAAGGTGGGTGCTGACCTGGCACTCGAGGGATAACCCAGCTCCTGAATGGAGTGCTATGTATAAGATTTCTATGGCTAATCTACATATGGTCTAAAAAAGGGGACTATAGGACCAAAGTGTGATCTCCCTCCCCTTTGGAGAGGTCTCCATTACTGCCACAGAGACGGCTGAGCTGGCAGTACAGTATCCCAGAGGAAAAAACCCACCAAAATATGAAAAGAATGTAGAATTTTTTTTTTATCCTCAAACCAGTCTGGATCAGAAGAGAATCCACCCAATTCAGTACGCTGAGTCTACCTTCCACCCACAGGAAGGCAGAGGAAGCAACTGAGTTGTGACAGCTCCCTGCAGCAGGTTTTTCTCTGACCAGTAGGCAGAGGAGTTGGCTTAACCTTGGACAGCATCAATGCTTTTGCTTACCGGTTCAGTTCCTTTTTGTCTTGTAACATAGAATTGCTCTGGAGTCAATTTCTTTTTCCAGTCTGCAGCAGCAGTTGCTTCAGCTTGTTTAGTCAGAGAGCCTGAGCCTTCAGTTACATACAGAAAGACAATTCACAATAATTTTAAAACCACTTCAGCTTAGACTCTGTTCATGCTTTCCATCATCACCTCAAGTCTCCCGAAGTTTCCATGGGTACAGACAGAGCACAGGAAGGCAGTTCAGAGATATAAGAGCAGGGGTGAGAGCAGGACTTTGCATCTGATTTCCATTCTGTGTGCAACATAGGGAGAGCAGCTCCAATACACCACCCAAGGCAGCTCTGATTGGAAGTGGGCACCTACCACCCAAGATACCATCCACCTGGCCAGTGCAGCCCTCTGCACTGGCTTAGGACAACTGCTGGTATGCTGGTGCGCCTTCCTCCTCCCTGGGTATCACTGAAAGCTTTGGCAGTTTGCTTCTTGGAAACCCTTGAACACTGCAACTAATGCTCATTGACGGGCTGTCAAAGGCTAGCAACTTCCACAGCCCTCTGTGAAGTGGTGATAAGAAGCACTGAAAGAAAGAAACACCTACAACCCAAAAGCAGTAGGGCCATAGTTCTGAGGGACACAAATGGAGAACATAATCCCATAATGGTGCAAAACCTCCAGCAATACCTCCTGTGAATCATATAATCATAGAAGGTTTACGGTTAGAAAGTACCATAAGATCATCTAGTTCCAAGCTCCCTGCCATGGGCAGGGACACCTCACCCTAGCCTAGGTTGCCCAAGGTTCTGTTCAGCCTGGCCTTGAATGCTTCCAGGGATGGAGCATTCACAGCTTCTTTGGACAACCCATTTGAGTGCCTCATCAACCTTACAGTAAAGAACTTCTTCCTTATATTCAATCTAAACTTCCTCTGTTTAAGTTTAAACCTATTACCCCATGTCCTGTCACTAGTCCCTGATGAAGACTCTCTCTCTGGCATCCTTGTAGGTCCCCTTCAGATACTGAAAGGCTGCTATGAGGTCTCCACACAACCTTCTCTTCTCCAGGCTGAACAATGTGTGAGTCTGTACACACCATGCAGAACGTTTATGGTGGTGTGGGACTAAAAAGAATATTGTCTGAAAAACAATGAATAGAAGTGTTTCATTCCTTCCTAATCAAAAGTGTGAGGTAGGGAACGACCTCCACACTTACTGCTCATCAGCATAGATTCCTTGGAAAGAAATCAGCCCGAGTGATAAATGCTTACCTTTGGCAATGCAGAGGTGATACGGGGGGGGGGGCCAAATAAAACTTGCAATCACAGTTTAACTATAAACACCTATAATTTAGCCTGCCAGTTCAAGAGAAATACCTACAACAGGCTGATATAGCCCTTTCCGAGCAGCTAGAGGACACCAGGGTCGGGGATACCCTCCCATCGCAGTGCAGCTGCTGCCCTTTCCCCCCCATCTCCCTATGGTCCGGGCAGAGGATACCTGTGCCACCGCGGGTGCTGCTGCTGGAGCTTCCTCTATGGAGGAGGAAGAAGAGGCGGCAGCTCCCGAGCATCCTCCGGAGCACTGGAGACGCCATAGCGATGGGGCGGGACCGGGAGAGAGACACCGGACGCGGCTGGCCGCGTCCGGCGTCTCTCTCCCGGTCCCGCCCCACGGCGTTCTATGTCTGATCCATACGTTCAACCTGAATAATTGCCCCTTATGAGTAAAGCACCCCTTTAAACACCAATGCAGCATTTGCAGCTAAAGGTTTCGATCGCTTCTTTAAGAGCTCGGCTTAAAATGCAGCATTATCATGTCGAGGTATTTGCTTGCAGCTGTTTTCAGTTGTTTTTAAGGAGAACAAGCCTGGTGTTTCCACGCGAAAGTGCTCTTAAAATGCATCTTGTAGGCGTTGCTCTTAGTTGTATTGATTGAGAACGTGGTTTGATTTGCAGTCACAGCTGCTTTGGCTTGGTCTATAAATATAGCTGTAATAGGACACGTGGTTTAGCTTGGGCTTCTGGCCTTAAAAGGTAGACCTAAATACAACACAGTTTTCCAGGTTAAGCCTTAATGCTGTTGTCTGAGTTTTATTCCCTGATAGCTCCATTTCTGATTTGGAATTAGGTCATCACTGAATGGTGTGGAAGGAGCTGTTTTGGTTGCACTGAATAACAAATGGTGTTTAAAACAAAATTACTTTCTTTTTAGTCTAATTTTTCTAGCCTAATTGTAAAATCAAAGCAAAAAGATAGCGTTGTGTGATCAGTCCTGTGTATACACACCCTTACTGAACCATCCTCATGCCTAAGACACTGAGTTCAATGGCAGCTGAGGACATCCAGCACAGCATACAATCAGTACCATGGCTGTAATCAAATCCTCATGCACCAGAAGACAGATAGCAGCAAAGTCTGTAGGTGATTGCATTCGCTGCCTGCAGTGGCAGGGGAGAGTGGGACACACAGCTGATTAATGGCTTTGTCCTATATAAATAGGCACGGTGGAGTGAAGAGTACCTTGATAAAAACCCTGGGGATGGGATGGTGCCTGTGAGTCCTCAGGACCATGGTTCAAAGTGGTAGGAGAGCAGTGCTGCTGGGCAGGGAGGAGACGGCTTTGTCTGAGCTCAGGGCTTCTGTCATTCATTTAGCCATGGTTTAGGAGGGAATTGGAACATTTCAGGGAGCCTGTTTTGAGGACAGACCCAATCTGACACTCCCCAGTTCTGGCAAATGGCTTAGGCCTGGAAAGTGCTGGCAGGGGGTGGCATCACTCCCAGTGCTCCCTGTCACTGTCTCTGGTTCAGCTGTGGAAGAGTTGGCATTTCCCTCCTGTTCCTCCTGGCCTTGATCTCAGGCAGTGGTTGCTGCTGAGGAGGGCAGGTAATCAATGGAGTTCTCCCTGAAGTATCTGGGAAATGAAGGCGGGTGAGAGAAAGTGATTAGTCCTGAAACTTGCATGTTTTAATGTAATTGACATTGATTTAACGGGCGCTTTTTTGAAGACAAAATCCAATGAAAAATGACCCATCAATATCTTCCTTGTAGCTCCCTGTTACTGCTGTATCCCAAAATGCAGTGGTTTCGAGGCAGTGGGAGCTGAACTCAGGTCTGCTGCTGTGCCATCTTCTTTGGGCTCTGAAGGGGGGGCTGGTGCCTGGACTGTGTGCAAGGGAGCAGCAGGCGCAGAAGGAGCAGGAGGCATTAGGCTGGTGGTCCTCTCTGTTACCCAGTTTACTGCAAGGAACTCCTCAATTAAAATGAGCACAGTGGTGGAAGAGGCAGATCCTGTTCACGCCAGCAGCTGTGATCCACATTGGAGGTGGTGCACCAGGAGAGCGGGTCCTCCATTCTTCCCTCCAGCAGAAGCCTGACCTGCAGTCCTCTGAACCTGTGTGACAGGTCTTCCTCAAGCAGAAGACAACCCCTGGCTGGATGTATTTCATTTTTCACATCTTCACTGCTGAAAAACCAAATCATTGTCCTGTCATGCCTCTAATGTCGCTTCCCCTGGTTACAGCACATATCAAGCCTCGTAGCTAGGCAGAGAACTGTCCTGCATCTCTCCCCATAGACTGTTATAAAAGCCAATTAGGCTGTTACTTAATTTTCCTCCTTTTTCCTTCCCTCATGCACGAGGGGAAGCAGTTCAAAAGTCTCCCCTAGCTACATTATGTAAATTTCCAAGTAGATTCTCCCTGAATAGTAATTCAGCGGGTTTGTTGTTAAAAACATCACCTGGCTCTATCCAGCACAGGCACAAGCTACATCCAGGGAAGGGTCACTCATCAAAAGCACAGTGTCATATTAGAGGTGTGTAGATGGGGAAGAAGCTCCCCAGTTCCTCTTGTAGCATTACTTTGTGCCGAGGCAGCAGCAGCAGCATCATGTGTGTTGGTGTGTGAAGGCGAGAAGAGGAGGGGAGCGGTCACGGTCCAGGCTACCCTGCTAATATTTATTCGGGCTCCAACCATTTCCCAGCCCAGGCTCTGTGCTGACTGACAGCTCTGGGGACAAGCAGAGCATCACATAATGCCTACGCTGGCAGATACTGAGCAGTCAGCCAGGAAACAGTGAGGAGCAGAAATCAAATGAACCCTTGTTCAAATGCAAACCTCTGCTTAAGCAGCCTTTCTTAATAAAGCCCCTTGACCTTACTGCGTGCAGAAGAAACACTGAAATAGTGGTGTTTGTATTTTATATGTGCTTGTATGCAATCAGATTTCCTGCTCATTTTGTCATACGTAATGTATGTCCCCTCCTATGGAATGTTCCACTGAAACATTCAGCGTACAAGAATTTAGCTCAGACTTGTCCTGTGTAGTGGCACTGTGTGCCCAAGTCCCTGGAGAATGAAGGAAAGGGGACCAGCATGAGCACATACTTAGGTGGGTAGGCTGTATCTGTGGCAGGCTCTGTTTTCCCCACAGGAATCTTCACTGCTTATGTAGGAGATGATGACATGAACTCCACATCCTTACACAGCTGTCTTTCCTCTCCTCTAACAGACCTGATACAACTCCACAGCTAGTTTCTAGCTGCTCAGATGTTACGAAACTCTGAGTATGGAGATACTGTTTCCATAGCAGTGCTATCCAAGATACATGGCAATGCTCCAGTGCTGAATTCCAGTAGTGGGAAAGGGTTTCAGCAAAAATGGTTGATAGCAGAGTCTTGGAAAAGGATACTGCTGGTTTCCAGAGGTGCAGAGAGCCTTAACACAGATCTGAACCTCCATGAAGCTGACCCATGGGTTCTGCTGAGATTCATTTGCAGAGTAGCTTGATGTGATTTAGGTCAAAGACGCCATCAGAAACAATGAGCACACAACTTCTTGCCTTGTTTGCTTTATGATTTAATATCTCTTTTTGCTAATCATAAGCCTTAGGATACCTAATTACTTGACCTCTGTTTTTGGCAAAAAATACAGGTCATAATTGAGGACTAGTGTAAGCAGGAACCTTCTGCTGGAGCCTAAGGTTAGGATTTGAATATATATGGTAGGAAAAGAGATGGAGGGGGGAGGGGAGAGGAGGAGAGGAGAGGAATTAGTTCCAGTTGGAAGGGACCTACAGGTGTGGTCCACTGTGACAAATGCTTTGAGTTCAATCAACCGATTGCTGTCCATAGGTCCTGTCCAGCATAAACTATTCTAGGATTCTAATGCTTTGAGAAATTTATTGCTAAATGGGTGAAGACATGAATTCAAAACCAAGTGGATATTTTGCAATCACTCCTTGATAGAAAACTCTATTCTGCAACCAGGCTGCCTGTTCAGCTAAATTTCATCCACTTGGAAAAGCAGACACACACTCTGGGGTGGAGTGAGTGTATCTGCAGGGGCAGCTATAGGGAAGCAGCATCTCCAGGCTTCTCCCCTGGATTGCCCCATGCATTCCCCATATCATACCAGAAAGTTTCTTGAGCTACATAGACAGTAATAATACATTCCCCAAACTTGTGTGTGATTTTTATCCCTTGTACCTTAAGGCAGTGGAGAACTGAGCTGGTTCTTCTTCCACCCAGTACCCAGAGCGTCAACAAAGCTTTGAATGAACAGTTATTTGGCAGCAACCGCAGTAGCAGCAGCTTTCTGTAGGTTATCTTAATGGATTTATCACCCTGAACTAAGCCCTGACCATCTGTTCTAGCCTCTAATTACAAATGCAGAAAAAGCTAATTCACGATTGCATCATAAAAAAGTAAAATATAAATGATTTAAGAGTGGGGTATGTCATGCTTCACTCTGACTGCGGGAAATTGCTCTCCCTTCAGCAGGCTTCCCTGATAACAGAGTTTGCCTCCTTCCCAGCAAATGGCAGTTCCTGAGGAGCAGGGCTCACCAGAACAGGTTTTATTCCCCCTCATTCATCTGAGATGTATTTTTAAACTTGGGATTCACATAAATGCCGTTATGAACCTTCTTGCCTTCTCTCTTAGATGACCATCTGAAGATTTAATGCATTTTCTAATCAGGAAAAGCACAAAATCACACTCCTTAAAAATCCCCCCCAAATTCTGCGTTCCCTCCGTATCACTTTTCCTGTGATACAGGCATGATGGTAGTCACCCACTGGTTTCCTGCTGGTAACTCATCTTCACTGTGGTGCTCTTGGTTTAGAAGAGAGGAGAAAAGTATGGGGCTGAGTGCATGCCCTGCTTCCTATGAATGACCTGCCTCATGGCTGGACAGGGAGGCCGGATTTGCCTCTTGATTTCACGTGGGTAAGCATTATGGAGGAATGAACAGGACTGTTGGTGAAGTAGATGGATAGGGGAGGGATGGGGAAATGTCTCAAAATGCATTTGGCATCTGGGTTTCTGGAGGCTTTTTAGTGTTTCAGCCACAACCTAAAATCAGACTGTGATTTTCTCAAATGTGTATGTTATTTGAAAAATAGGAAACATGTAGTAAAGTGGAAGCAGTAGAAAAGACCACTCAAAAAGCTGCCAGAGGGATTTGCATGTGAACAGTGTACAGTTCTGCTTTGCCTAGTGTGATTTGCCTGCCTCTAACTCATTCTTTTAGCAGCACTTCAGGATTTGGTTATAATCCTTGGTCTCCAGCATGCTGACCAGGTAGGTGTCTGTGGGAGAAACTGGCATGCTGC